TTATTGTTGTTCTCATTTCATGCGTCTTTGAGAAGGATTGCATCTCACAACATATAGACTGTTCTGAGCATGAGTGATCAATATATAATGTCTGTTTGTTTTATTTATGGGACTTCATTAAAGCTTTTTATTCCCACATTTTTCACTCTGAACATAATGGATGATGGACTGTGCTCTGTTAATGGGAGATGTTTTTGCAAGGGAGTGAGATAATCGAGTCTTATGGCTCAGAGTAATGGTGGTAATCAGAGGGCACGAAAGTCCGTTTTTTTGATGAGATCATGAGGGGGATTTGACATAAAGAGTGGGTGAGTGAACCACTCTATAAAACTGAGAGAGCCCTTGATGTAAGGAAGTTCACTTTCGGTTGTGCTCTGGTCTGTGTCTCTACAGCTTGATCTTCTCCTTTTTGTCTATTTTGTCTTTTTTAGTTTTCTTGGTGTATTGAAAGTTTCTTTCAGTGAACTATTCTGCATATTAATGTTCCATCTCCTGTGGAGTTTTTTTTCTTTGCATGCTTAAAAAAATGCTTGTAACATCTGGCTTGATTTTTTTTTGTTCAACAGCTGACCACTGACAGCAAATTTTCTGGTTCCTTTGCTCTGACATATTTACCAGCTGAAGGACTGGTGTAATCTCAAAACTTCAAAGAACAGAGAGGAAAAACTCAGAATCTGAAGCTGAAACGCACTTTGATTTTCTGTGGAGAAAGAGAAACCAGCATATTTACTGCTGCAAAGAGGACAACAAAGAGCATCTCACTATGGATCTCTGAATTCCAGGAGAACTCGGGCTCTCGTCATGATAAGGTGATGAAGATTTTCTTTTTTTTACTGATCAACAGAGTATCTGTTAGGTTTGCATAATGGATGAACATAAATGCCATGAAACAGTCCAAGCTGCAGCAGAAAGGAAGAATGATGTTTTACACTCAGCAGCAGAGCCAGAGACCAGAGCTGGATTCTTAAGATATTCGCATAAAATTACACTGGATCCAAACACAGCACATAAAGAGCTCTTACTATCTGAAGGGAACCGAAAAGCAACATTAAAAGAAGGTGGACAGTTTTACTCTTGTCATCCAGATAGATTCACTGAATATGAACAAGTGCTGAGCAAAGAGAGTCTGACTGGATGTTGTTACTGGGAGGTGGAGTGGAGAGGGGGAGCAGTTTATGTAGCGGTCGCATACAAGAATTTCAGCAGAACAGGAGGTTTATATCACTGTGGATTTGGACTAAATGAGAAATCTTGGGCATTACGTTGTGACACAGACAGTTATATATTTTACTACAACAAAGTCCAAACTGTCCTCTCAGGTCCTTGGTCCTCCAGAGTAGGAGTGTACCTGGATCACAGAGCAGGTATTCTGTCTTTCTACAGCGTCTCTGAAACCATGACTCTCCTCCACAGAGTCCAGACCACATTCACTCAGCCGCTCTATGCTGGAGTTGGTCTTGTGTGTTATGGAGTCACTGCTGAGTTCATTCAAGTTGAGACTGAAACACCGGGTGGACCGAGCTTTTGCTGTTGTGGCCCCAAAATTAAGGAATAATTAGCCCTCCATATTAGGCTGGCCCCAACACTTGAGATTATTAAATCCACTTGAAAAAACATACCTTTTTTCCAAGGCATTTGATGAGTAGTACCAGGGCTTCTGGTTAGTTTTATTCAGTTTTTGATCACTTTTAATCTTCTTTACTTTGTTAATTTTATTTATTGTATATTTTTATTTTATTCATTTTTACTTTTATTTATTTATTTTATTGTTATTGTATTTTCTTTTTCTGTGTAATGATTGGTTTTCTAACTTTTATCACTGTTTTTCACTGGAAAGTACTTTGGTCAACCATGTTGTTTTTAAAGTGCTCTATAAATAAAGTTGGATTGAAGTAAAACCAATAGGTTTATCTTAAGCCCTGATTTTCAGTGTGCCTCAGGGAAATCCAGCCCTCCTAAAACAAAAGAGTGCACAAAGGTATTAGTATGTGCAAACTCATTCGGGGTCGGAGTGGGTGGGCTGTCCCATCTTGCTTCCATCGCAAAAAAGCGAAGTTCAAAAAGACTGAAAACAAACGTGCAATAAAGTCACAAATTTAAGAAATGCCTTAGGATTTTTTTTCTCAACGTGGCCCTAAATCTCCTTTGTAGAGAGAGCCACACACCAAACGTTTAGCGTTTACTGAATCAGTCACGTGGTACGGCCGAACGTCAACACGAAGGTCATTAAAACGAGCCCGAGACAGACGTCTGTCATTTTTTCCCCTGTCCACATTTCACTCCAGTAGGTGGCAGTAATACACCTGTAAGCTGGTTTGCCAACTACCATCAAGCTCGGAAGAAGGAGAAGGAAGGAAGTGGAGGGCAAAGTGTGGCTGTTTGAGTGGAGCGGTGTGTGCAGACATGGCGGCTTTTTAACGAAGCGAACTGAAGTCGGAAGAGAGACACAAACCAAAGTATCGATCCCGTCACGTCAGTGTGGATCTGATCCCAACGTCGGTTTCACGTCATCGATGCTTGTATCGATCCGTCCAGCCTCAGCAGCGATGAGATCGTGTCAGTATCTGAGAGAGTTCATCAAGGAGAGACTAACTGCTGTTTGTGAAGAAATCTTCTCAGAGGTTCAAAAAACCATCGTCCAGTATGAGGAGGAGATCAACCGTCAGCACAGACTGCCGGATATCAGCCGGAAACCCGACAGAAACTCACACATCATAGGTATGGACATGTTTTTAACTCTGTGCTGTTCAAGCTCAGATTCTTCAGTGTTTGGTTGATTGGTGATAAATCTGAAAGTTTATCAGCTTCTCCAGGATTTCTCTAAGCTGATGTTAGCTGAGAGCAGGAAGCTGTTACTTTGGTGATGAATTCAGAGGAGCAAACGGTGATAGTTCAGGAAGAGCACACACACTCTTAATGAGACAGTGTGAAAACTGTCTGCTGACTAACATTGATGAAGATGAGCGTCCACATCTACTGTTTATTCCATTAATTGTTCATGAGAGCATCAAAGTGAACACACACATAAAAGGGACTGTTTGATTGGTTAGGGTCTAAACCAGGGGTGGGCAATTCCAGGCCCCGAGGGCCGGTGTCCATGCAGGTTTTATACGTGTCCTTGAACCAACACAGCTGATTTAAATGGCTAAAATAGCTCCTCAACATGTCCTGAAGTTCTCCAGAGGCCTGGTGTTACGACCCGTCTAGGGCCAGGCAATAACATGAGTGAGGCACTGGCTTCCCCCCCCCCAGACCCAAGCCCCAAGCAGCCACAGGAAACAAATCCGTTAGTTACAAGGTGATTTATTTACAATGTGAAAAAAAGGAACCAAAACCGGAGTGTCAACACTTCAGGGTGAGCCAAGGCCAAAACAATAAACAAAACAAATCTACACCCCTGACCTTACCAAAACAAAGTCAAAAATAAAGACAGAGTGTAACCTCCTTTACTAACTCAAAACAGGAGAAAACGGGTGATCAAAAGAAACGGCAGCTCACCCCTACCCACTCCACTTCCACAACTTTTAAGCGCACTGCAGCCAGCGGCTGCCACAGGAATACTGCTGGGTCATGAGGAGAAACGCGAGGACCTCTCCGGCTGTAGCTCCAGCCTCCTTTTAATGGGCGAGTCCTCCAGCTGGAACCAGTCACGTCGGGGCAGTGTGTTCACGCACCAATCGGAGCAGGGCCCTGGCACAGCTAAATTAACATAAAAAGATACAACACCTGCACAAAACAAACACATGGACATGAAAGTTCGTAACACTGGTAACAAACTAATCATGTGATTCAGGTGTGTTGACCCAAGGTGAGATCTAAAACCTGCAGGGACACTGCAGGGATACACACTTTTCTATTCAGTTTAATTTAGTTTTAGTTAAACAGCACAAAAGCAGTTACCTCGAGGTAAAGAAACCTGCTGCAGAGCCAGGCTCAGGGAAGGGCAGCCATCTGCTTTGGCCTGTCGGGGGAGACCATTGTAAAATAGTTTTTTTTAAGTGTGTGTTTTCGTCATGACATTAGTGATTATTGTTCTTGTGTTTCTTCGTTCATCAAGACCCCCCACAACAACACAACTGTAAGGGAGAGGAGGACCCAGAGCCTCCACAGATTAACAAGGAACAGGAGGAGCTCTGCAGCAGTCAGGAGGGAGAGCAGCTTGGACTGCTGGAGACCATCTGTGAACCTGATATAATGTCACACAGAATAGGTATGTAAAACTGTGATGGTCGTAATAAAAAATGAATTAGGCCTGCAGCTATTGATTATTCTATCAAATAATGGATTAATTGGATAAGAAGTACTTTTGTCTCATTAATGTACAATAATAAATATTATAAAGAGAAAAAACACTTTCAGAGTGAACTGCTCATTGGTTTCCATTTATGTTTAACAGTGAACATTGTCTTTTTGTGCCATGTTAAAATGTAATTTTTTAAAGAAATCTTCTTAAATCCAAAAATAAATCCAGAATTTCAAGTACAGTAATGTTAAATACAATAAGGTATGCATGCAACCTCACATAAGGCATGAAAAATGAGCCTTTTCTCTGTTGGAAGGTTTTATCTCCTGAATATGGAAGATTTGGTTTGTGTTCAGATTTGTTTTTTTCATGTTTAAGTGTGCAAGGGAACGATTGAGTATGTATTGTAAGCCTTGCAGTGGGTGAAATGAAGAAGAGCGAGCATGTCAGCATTCTGAATTTTGTTCTGAGCTTTGATGCAAAATTTTGTGCTGCCGAAAACGAGACGTTATGACAGGGCCTTTTACCGACATGCATGCTCAGGTTGTAATCACCATTAAGATCTTTACTAGGAAAATTATCAGGAGTCCTTCATCAAACCACTTGATCAACAAACTCTGATAGAAAAGCTTTGCACCTGCTCCATCCACCACTGTTTCGTATACACAGAAGTTGTTTTAAAGTATGCAGATAAACTATTAACTTAACGTTTAAATTATGCAACTTGCTGAAGCTGGCCTCTTTTATACAGAAGCAGTTCTTGTAGCAAACAGGGGCGAGCCAAAAGGGGGGCATGGGGTGTACTAGATCATATTAATTTCAAGGCTTGCGTAACATTTTTCAGATTGAAGGTGAAATAACATAAAATATTATATTAATGAAATAAAATTTTCACAAGCCAATAAAAGTGTTCAAGGGCCAGTAAACTCTGAGCCACAGTCTTGAGGGTTGTCAGGTTGGACACTGAAGTATTATTATTATTAAATAAAATCTACACCATCAAAACGTCTTGTTCTCTTTTCAACAGCACAAAAACTGTCCTTTGATTAAAATCAGAAAGTCTTCCAAGAGGACAAAATAAAAACAAAAAAATTATGCCATAGTTTAGATTGCAGATATCTATATAAATTTTTTTTTTTTTATTTTGATCTTTGACTGTACTTGAAACTAACCTAAATACTAAGAGAAAGATCATGTGTGTCCTGCATGAGGATAGCGATTTGTGTTGGTGTGTGGGGCTGTAGCCTGTAAGTTTATATAAATCCAAACGTCTTGTGTTTTCTTTTATTTTGCTTGGTTTAGCAGTTCGCGTTTTTGGTTTAAGGCACTCTTGAGCCAGGAGTCAGCTCCCTCCGCAGCTCCTGCACTGCAAACACTCCTCCTGTCAGTCTCACCCGTCACTATATATATGGAGAGAGTCATTAGTCAGCACACACACCTGTCCCCTCTGCCGCCCTGACACCGCCTCAAGAGTTCACTGCACCACCCCTCCACTGCAGCAGGCCAGAGACCACACCCCTCCCATAGTAGCATACTGCATTACTTTAAAGAATGGTTATGAAATACCTTCAACATGCACACACATACAATTAATTTGCATGTATGTAATGCCTTTGATATGCTGCTTAGAGATAGTCGGTAGGGATGCACCGATACCACT